AACATCTCAAGAATTTAACCATTATTCAAATTTGACATTTGATAAAGTTCAGCTCATGACCCTAAGTCCATGTTAATTTGTCTTCAAGAATACAGGTGTTTCTTAACTGTAGGCGACCTATTTAAATTACCAGTGTTATAGTTAATGTATTTGAGCCTGATGTTATTAATATCTTTGCAGTCTCTAAGTGAATCATCAGTCATGTGTGTCAAGGCTCATTCATTCACATTATTACTCCTGCTGGTGTGCTGTGCATGTTTGTGACACGCTGGCTTTCAACTGCTATATCCTGACTTGAGGATCTTATCTTTTTCCTTATAGGAGGTGTTTAAGTGGCTTACAGATCACAGGCTTTTTCTACAAATACACAAAAATAGAAGCTTCTCCCACCCTTTTCTCTTAGTTGGTCAGTTGCCTGATCCCAATTAAAAAAAACGTATTTTCTTTCTATGAGCTACTACTTCTTCAGCAGCTATATCACCCTGTAACTCCCAACTAGCAACCCCTTCAAGCTAAACAGGTGTGATGACCTGCTTTGGAAGAGGTGTTAGATTGATCAGTAGGGGGAGCTCTTCTTGTGATCTGTGTGGGCTGTACATTGTTCCTCATTCAAAATAAATGAAACAAAATAATTCTTTACACTTATATTGCACTTTTATGTACACTCCGCTCAAAGCGTTTTACGGGTAATGGGGACTCTCCTCCACCACCACCAGTGTGCAGCCCCACCTGGATGATGTGACAGCAACCACAGTACACTCACCACACACCAGCTATCAGTGGGGAGGAGAACAGAGTGATGAAGCCAGTTCAGAGATGGAGATTATTAGGAGGCCATGATTAACCTCTTTTCAAGAAGCACCCTGGAATTTTTAATGAGTACAGAGAGTCAGGGCCTCGGTTTTATGTCTCATCTGAAGGATGGTGCCTTTTTACAGTATAGTGTCCCCGACTGGTCCCAGTAACACCACTTCCAGCAGCAACCAATTTTTCCCAGGAGGTCTCCCATTCAGATACTAACCAGGTCACACCTGTTTAGCTTCAGTGGACTGCCAGGTGTGAGTTACAGGGGGATATGGCTGCGACCACATGGTTTAGCTGTTACTACAATATGGTTCTTGGTTGTTTCTGCTCATACTCTAAGAGGTCACACCAGGAGCTCAACAACTGAGCTACAGTTAGGAAAATAAATCACAGAAACTCAATAAAAGCACAAACATTACTCTTTATTTATTTTCTGATGGTTCTGTGTAAGCTTTGCCATGACTTCATAAGACAAATCTTTTGGCACTATCAGGGTAAGTAAAACATACAAAAAAAGAACTCAAAAATAAAAATAAGTCTTAAAAGTCAGTAGTGTTTTACAGAATCTGTCCTGCATTACTGACAGGAGAGGCCAAAGTGTGAAAATAGTTTTGAATAATGAATTGAAGTAAAAAGAACATTCTAGAACATAAAATGTAACAGTTTATTAATTAGATTAAATAACTAAAGTCATAAGATAAAATTAACCTGATCATGTTTTAAAACATTGACTAAACCTCTTTATTTAGAGGGTCTTGTCTTCATGGCTGTTCTTCTTGTTCTAGAAATACGTTTGTAAAGGCACTCAGACTTTATGTATTTCCAGCAGCATGGAATTTCATACAGAATTCCAGTGATCTCTTTCAATGAGAGAGGACCAAGCACAGTGACAACCAGACCATGTTTTGCAGGCCAAACAATTTCTCATTTTTTGACATGCATCTGCATCAAAAAGTTTTTAAGAACACTTTCAAGCACTTCATGGTCACATTTCTTTACCTCTTCTAAAATTTAAAATTGCCAATTATTATATACCCAGCCAACGTGGAAGTGGCAAACAGCAGCCAGCTCTGAGCTCACACAGATGAGAATGAAGAAGGGGACAAAGTCTCCTCCTGCTTGCCCATTTATCCAGCCATTTGGATTTTTACACACCACAGGCTCTGCAGCCACATGCAGGTGAATCAGTGCTGATTGGAGGAGAGACGCATCCCTCAATGACATCGCCGCCAGTCTGATGGTGCACAGGAAGCCACAGGCGTTGGTGTTTCACCTGCAGCCAAGAGAGCCCTGGCTGACATATCCCAGCCCATCCACTAGGGGTGCTGCGTTTATTGGGGAATCCTATTTAGTGAGAATCAAACTCTAACTTTCAAGTTGTTTCAGATTCTAGGCATGTGTTGATTCAGCCCTCAGTGAAAGAAAGTCTGTTTTTGTGAATACAGGAGCTGGACAATTCGGCTTTGGAAAGTACCAAAATGGGTCTGTTCTGTCTGACTGATCAGTGAAGGCACCTTCTCCAGGCAGCTCTGTTGAGCCCTGTTCTGGCTCTTTTTGAGCCAAAAGAGCCATACTTGTCACATGTTTCTACACCATGACTGTACACCACCGATAGCAGAAGTCAGTTCTGAAATATATACCAGACATAAACATGGGCATCCTTAAACATATATCAGAAAATACATTAAATTCATATGGAGGAAAGCCAGAGCACTGCAGAATGGGCAGCAGGGCATCCAGGTGAAGGACAAACTGCAAAGAGCTTATATTTATATTGACTGTAGGTTTTAAAAATACAACAGCCAGGCCATTTAAAAACAATAAGGCACCCAAAGGCATTATTTTACATATATTGTAATATTTTAACACAAAATTCAATTTTTTCATTTTCAGAAATTCATTTTGCCTATGAAAAGATTGTGTATTTTGATTTTTAAAAATTCACTCCTTCATTAAGAACCTTGGTTCCCAGTTAAATATCACAATTTTGCACAATCCCATAATTCCATACCAGTGTATTTTGGCGGTCTTCCCACACCCCAGTATGAGAATGTAAGCAAAGTGAAAAATCTCTATCTGTTCACACTTTCTTGTGTTTTTGGGACTTCTATGTTCTGTTTATTGTTCTTATGGAACATATAAAAATGACAAAATGCAGTTAGCTTTGGTAAAAAGTAAACAGAAACTGGTGAATAAGCCACTATCGCCCAGGCTATAAAGAGTTCTGCTTCCCTTGCCTATAAGTTTGAAACTTCAGATGCCCCCTTCCATCCATCTGTTTTCTAAACACTTCTTCCAGTAGAGGATCACAGGGAATCAGCAGGGCCTATCCTGATAAGCAACGGACACAAGGCAGGTTACACCCTAGGCATGATGTGTGTGTGTAGGCCTTGCCAGTCCATCACAGGGCAAACACAGACACACTCACAGCAGAGCAGGTCATTAAAAATGATTGTTTTCGGACACGGGGGCGGGCAAGGCAATGAGGAGTAGGTGGTCAGAATCCTCTCACCGTGAGGAAGAACCGAGGAGCTGCTGTAAGGGCAGAGATGGTTGAAAAGGAGCTGAGCAAACAAGGATCTGGGAAACACGGTTTGTACAGGCAGGCAACGCAGGCAAGTGAGTCCTGGGAGTTCCTTTCCCTTACATTTGTTTCCGACCTACGTTAAAAGGCTTTCCTTTCTACATTCCTGACCTCAGTGCATGAGGACCACACGGGCTAGAGCTGCTTTTAACATAAAAAATAAAACTTAAAAAAGATGTTTTCATTTGGCAACAGTATAAAATTTAGCCGGTAAAGAAAAAAAAAAAGAAGCTAGCAAACTGGATAAATTCTGTAGCCGTCATGAAAAACAGATTGTTTAAAAAGTCCAGAAACGTACAAAAAAATGATTCAAAGCGTTTCTGCTAAAAATATTGGAATTACTATATCTCACATTAATCAAGGAGGGAGGAATGTACATCCTATGTCGGCTTGATATAGCCTTAAAATGTTTCCTGAACGTGGTGTCTTCACACAGACATGACGATTGACCTGCGACACTGTCACAGACAGTGTGGCAGAAAGGCCACTATGGATCCCAGAGCTGGTTTCTAGCTTATTTCAACGTCGTTGATTCCCGACGATGACTTCAGTGGAACCGAATCAAACCCATCAGATGTTCTCTGCGGAGAGGGATGTGTCAATTAATATTTGGTCACCTTGGTATTTAAAGTCCGTAGAGCTCCTCTGGCAGAGCAGTGGGTCTCAGTGTGTGGGCTAGGCCCCAACACTGGATAGAGGAGGCAAGCTCAGATGTCTTGAAGATTACATTTCAAAATAACAATTACCAAGCTTAAGATCATATTTTTTCATTCTTGAGGAAGAAAACTTGGATCTCTCTGCCTTTCAATAGCCCAATGTGAACCCAGGGACTGATGCCTGTACTTTGCCTGTTTTTGTCGGTGCATCTGTGTGAGACCACTTTCTCATCACTTTTTAAAAGAGAGAAAAGGGCAAAACCTAAAGCATCTCACGACCTCTGTACATGTCTGTCAGTAATTCCTCCTTGATTCCAGCTCTACAGTTAGAGACAGGGACAAAGATTCTCCTTGTCTAGCAATTGTTGTACTCTTTAGTAAAGTTTTGAAGTACTGTATTTGCTATTATGTTCAAGGGGGTCTTGATTTTTTTGCATGTTATGTTGGTAAATGATGACTGAAAAAGTATTCTTATGCAGCTGCAGAATCTGTCTGTATTTTAACCCCATGGTGTCCATTTTAGCTGACGCATAAAGGTCATTAAAAAGTCAAAGGTGACAAACTGCTGCCTGCACATCAGTAAAACAACTTTTTTGCATAGCAATTCACATGTAGGAGGGAACCCACATCCCCTACCAATGAAGTGTAGTTCCACCTGACTAATACACAGCAGACATTCTACACCTGTGGTCCCACTATGAAACAGATCAGGTATAGAAGTGACAAAATGCTTAACCAGCTGAATTTTAGGGAAGCCAGACTGCGCAAACACAAGTGGAATTTTTCCTGGACACCAGGGTATTAGTAGCCAATACAGTGTAATGATATCATTGCAAAAGATCTCATGGTACTCTTACCAACATTGCCTTCTGCCATGCTAAGACGAGCCTGCTTCTTTGTTCGTGTTTTGCTCTCAGACTGCGATATGACAACTTTGCCTGTATTTCCATCCTGGTCCGCCAAGTTTAACAAGGGCTCCACTGCACAGAACAGCACTCACCTTGGAGGTGAAGGACTTGATCTTGCCAAAGATGGACCTCTTGGTGAGGTAGATCAGGTCGTCCTCTGCATCTTCTCCTTCCATGATGGCGCAGCTGTCCGCCGCAGGGAGCTCACAATCCTTCGCGCTGGAGTTCATCACCAGCTTCGAGTACTTATACTCCAACCTGCACAGCCAACCCATTCATCAGCACACGTGCGCCATGGCCAAGCCTACCAGTCTCTGCCACAAAGGAGCACATGTCGCACCCATCTTTTTTAACTCGCATCTGGGAGAATAATTCTGGGGGTAATTTGGGGTGAAAAGGTGGGCAAATTCCCATACCCCATGCTTTGCAAAGATCCCACAGTTATTTCTGAATTCTCTTCAGGGATCATGTAGATCACACAGAGGATTCTGTTTGGAAATGTAGCAGAAAGATCTGTAAAGCTTGTAGACAAATGACCTTCCTCAAAACTCACTTCACAACACAGCTTTGACCCTGTACTAATTCTGATTCATAACGTAAGATATGTTACTTTTATTATTCCTATCAGAACCTAGAACAAATTAATCCTTACAAATTTTAACTAAGATGATCTGTGCTACTTTCTTTTACTTTAAAGAGCGTAGCCTGTATGTGTGTAGCAGGGGCTTGTTGCCAAAGCCGTGTGTCTGATGAGGGCTGTTCCTTCACACTGCAGAATTCCAACAGACAGCAGCCCCCAGGAAATCCCCTTGCATCAACAATAAAAAACCCGCCTGCCTTTCCTGACAGCGCACGGTCCAGACACTGACCTGCGGGTCCTCTTCCAGAAATAGCAGGTGACGGCCACCAGCAGCAGGGCCGCCACAGTGCCGGTGGACACTCCAAACTTCAGCCAGAAGTCCAGGGTGACGCAGACGCTGACCTTCTGCTCTGGCACAGTCACCCCTCCAGTGCACAGCCTGGGTTCCTGCCACACGTAGGTGGTTTTCTACAGAAACAGTCACACTGAGTCACCTGATGTTCACAGCAACACGTGTACCAAACACCTTTCTTTTGTTCACATGTAAGAAGCCAGGTTTGTAGTACTTTTGTTTAGAATTGTATAATGTTAGCATGACCAGAGGGGTTGGGCAGCCAGTTGACCTTGGACCCCTAGAGGTTTCAATTGAATTGAAGTTTAAAGATGGACAGTTAGGAAGAGGGCATAGCTTGGCTTCTAAAATATCCTTCTCAAATATCTTGTTATATGTGCTCCTACAGTATCTGTAATGTTTCTGTTTTATTGTCCACATATCTCTACATATGACTGGCGTCCCGTCCAGGGTGTACTGTGCCATGTCCCCCTTGCTTGCTCGGATGGGTTCTAGCTCCTCCAAGACCCTGAATTGGAAGCACTGGTTTGAAAATGCTGGATTTTCAGCATCCATATCCAGGATGGATGGATAACCAACGCTATTTCACTAAGTCTGGTGTGATTCTTTCATTGTTTTAGCCAGGGGAGCAGGAATATGTTGTCAAACCGCCGTATTTCCAGAAACATGTTTCTCTAAACCCGGAAGGAAGAGAAGCAACAACTAGGCAACTGTTCGATTCCAAGCGGAATGAAATGAAAGCTGCCATGTGATCAACAAGGGATACAAGAGGAGTGATTGCATTTCCTGTCGATCTCATCTCATGGACAAGCAGAGCGCTAGCCCCCTGCTGGCCAACACTGAAAGTGCAGGGGGTTGGAAACTCAAAGATAGGAGATCCTAGTACTGGATTTGGGCACAGCGAGGAGGCAGCCGGGTCGTACCTGGATTCCCTTGACACAGGCACTCACGATCTCTTTGTAGTCGTTCTCAGAGCACAGCGGGCAAGCGTGCCTCGATCGCCACAGGAAGTGGAATGTGCAGCCATCGCAGGTGCCCTCTGGGCATTTACTGGAGAGAGCAGGAGAAAGTGATGATGTCAGCCTCATAAAGATAAATAAGATAAGTAAGCATTCTTAGTTATCTTATAGCACCGAATGAAACTCTGTGGAACCAAAATATTTTTCTAAAGTGAGCCTACACATGCTCCCCTTTCATAAACTTCCTTTAGCTTTGACATTAATTTACTTTCAAGAGTACCTGGCTCTTCATGATTAAATCTTGAAATTCAGCCCCTGACTGAGGGATCTTCCAGAGATGTGGGTGTGTTTGTTCCGAAATCATGTGGACCCCTATTATTGCAAATTCAACTAATTTTGTGACTGATTCAAGTAATTTTTGCACACCTGAACTAATTTAGGTTTGCCACTGCATTCCTCCTTTACTATCAACATATTGTATTTTTTGGGCAATTTGTGTAACTGGCACGTGTAACAAACGTTCAAGTTTTGATAAAAATATTTTCTCTTTAAAAAAATCATTTACAATTTGGCAAAATGTGACATCATTGGAAGGGGGCAATGCTTTCGCAAGGCACTGTATTTATGTGCAACATAAATTTATCAGGTACCAATTTTTGTAAACTGTTTGTAGATACAGCTTTACCGTGCTTGTACTTCAGTTCCAGGTTTTGGTCTTGCAAATGATATGAGGTGATGGTATGAATGCAGCTGCTCTTAGGCATGCTGGTAGGTTAATTGGCTTCTGGGAAAATTGGCCTTGTTGTGAGTGTGTGCCGGTTGGCGTTTGTGTGTGCCCTGCAATGGACTGGCATCCCGCCCAAAGTGTATCAATCTTTGCTCCTGTTGCTTGCTGGATGGTCTCCAACCTCCCTGTGACTCTAAACTGGATAAAGTGGATGAAGGGAAGAATGCATGTGTTGTTACAATACCTTGGCAGAGTGAGCACATTGGTCTCGGATTCGGTTGGGTCACACCTCAGTCTGATTGTGGTGGCTCTCCCATTTTTACAGGCCTTAGTCACTTCAACTGACCTGCAAGAATTATCACCAAAATACACAAATGCAGTTTTTCATTGAAGGCAAGGAATGAATGATTTGTGCATCATTATCGGTACAACTGGAGTCCAGCAGGGGGCAGTCCTCACCTGTAGTAAAAGATGACATCAGGTGATTTGCCTCTGCCAGGGAACAGCTCCTCGGGTGAGGTGATGTTATCAAGCTCGGTGTCAGTAGTAACCCCTGAGAGCGAGAGAGACAGGAGCAACAGCCATCACATGGTAGCTGAGTCATTGTACACTAACGAGCTCTGGCACCACTTTGCAAAAACCTGATCTGTGCGAGCACAAAGCTCTTCAGTATTCATCTGGCCCGGCGGGCAGACCACTTTGACTTGAGATGACTTTTGCTGTCATGAGAAATATTATGCAAAGTAAAGCTTGCTTTAAAAAGTGATACAAAGCAGGGGTGTCCAATCGTGATCCAGGAGTGCTAGCGTGCCTACAGGTTACCATTCAAGCTCAGTTCTTACATGAGCTCATTATTAGCTTAATTGAATAAATTAATAGCTTCTCCTATGTGTCGCTGAAATAACCTATAGGTTTCCCTAACGATCCAGGACCAGGACTGGACAGCCCTGATATCAAGGAAGGGGGCTACTTGCTCAACGGGAAACATCAAAACCATGACTGCTGAGGTTTACACTGTGTATTATTCTGGAAATGCCAAGACAGCTTTCTCTGAACATTCTATATTTGCTCAGTGTTTCTTTATACTGGACTAATGTGGAATAGGTTAAAATTAGCAGCTCTGATTTTGTAAGCATGGCCAGTACTGGCGCAGGGAACCTCTAAGGAACGTTTTTTTCTTCTTAAGGTAGTGTTGGGAGATCAGAAGGTGGCTGTCCTCCTTCCAAGGGATTTTGCTTTCTGTGTGACGCTAAACACCAACTGTAGCTCAAGGTCACTAACCAAGTCTGCAACAAATTCCAGTTTAATACGACTCAAGAAAATTGGGGAAAATGAACAAAACATCTGCTTTCCTGCCCCCCCAAAAGGGACTTTAGGAAAGATAAAAATGGAAAATAAAATTAATTTGATCTTTCTGTCATCAACTACTGTCTTGTTTGAGGAGCAGAAAGAAATCAGCTGAAACACATCTGCTGGGAAGTCTTATGTTCAACATGAGGATGTTTGACAAGCGGCAAGGAGCTCTCTGTTATTCAGTGTGAGAGGAATATGCGTTCGTCTGCTCACACCCAGGCAGGAGTGTCTCTACCTATTAATCTGTCTGCAATGCTGAATGGCTGCGAAGAAACCACAGTCTTCTGGGCCCTGACATCTGAGGGTACGAGGGTAGACTGGCAGGCGTATGCAGAGAGCTCTTGTCTGTGGTCTGTGATATTGTCGACACAAGATGCCAGCTTCCGCCCCTGAGGGGAAAAAAAAGCTAAGCTTAAACATGTATTTAGTCCAATACAGTCTAGTTTCTATTTTATGATCTGAGAAACTAAGGGTCATTCATTGTTATGGCCACATGCAAGACTGGACATAGGGAACCCCAGTAGCACTCACAGTCATGCATTTCCATCACATTACAAAGAAGTTTCAGAGCCATGGAAGGAATTCCTGCACCCGCTTGGGGGAATACAAGCAACCCCGTCTCGGACAGTCACCTCGTTTCCACACAGGCTGATGCTGAAATGATGGAAGTACTTGAGCCCTTTGGGGGTGAAACGGGGTCCACTCTGGAAGCTGGTGGTGTTGGACAGAGGGCCGAAGTCGTACTGCACTTTCACCTGCTTGTGCGCCAGAGTCAGCCTGCAGTCACTGAAGCACGTCGACTGCAGCTGGAAGGAAGCAGAGATGGATTATCCAAATATGTCCACACTAACAGAGTCTCGGAGCAATGCTGTTCAGGAGGCAAATAGAAATTAACCTATAATTCCAATGCATCCATCCACTTTGTATCTGCTTTGTCTAATACAAGGCTGTGGGAGAGCCAGAGCCAATCCCATCAAGCAATGGGCACAAGGCAGGGTACACCTTGGACAGGACACCAGTCCATCACAGGGCACACACAGACACAGTTCTGCCAGAAGCTCATTAACCTACCAGTATGCCTTTGGACTGTGGGAGGAAACCAGGGCACCTGGAGGAAACCCATGTGTACATGAGGAGAACATACAAACTCCACAGAGATAGAACCTCAGGAATTGAACCCAGGGCCCCAGTGCTGCAAGGCAGCAGTGCTAAAATGGAAGGAAAGTTATACTAAAATGTGCTTGCAAAAATTGAAAATTACTTTTTAGGATTGTTTTGTGCTGCACCCAGTGCTGCTCTCTGGACACCCTGCTTTGCAATGTAAAGCATCGGGCTGTAGGCCGATGTGAGGAACCAGTCCTCTTGCAATGACGGACATTTAGAAGATTTCTGGGGTGGATCCGTGGAAATATTTCGGCTAATAATATGCAAAACATCATTCAAACCACCCTGAGCTTTACTTGTTGAGACTCAACAAGGCAATTATCTGCAAAATACCTGGAAAAAAGCAGAACACTTCAGAGTAGGTGGCTTTGCTTTCTAGACACAGGCAAAAGGGCTTAAATGCACAGAAGCCAGATCTATGGATTGAGGGGTTAGTGGGGCCAGTAGAGGGCTCTCACCTTACAGTCTTTGTTGGTCCTAATGCCCCAGTATAGTATAGTGCCCAGTATAGTCCTTCAGATGAGACATAAAACTTTCTGTGGTCATTAAAAATCCCAGAGTATTTCTCGAAAGGAGTAGGGGTGTTACTCCAGTGTCCTGGCCAGAATTCCCATTGGCCCTTACCAATCGTGGCCTCCTTATAATCCCCATCTATGAACTGGCTTCATAACTCTGCTCTCCTCCCCACTAATAGCTGATGTGTGGTGAGTGTACTGGTGCTATGTAGCTGCTGTTGCATCATCCAGGTGGATGCTGCACATCGGTGGTGGTGGAGGAGAGTCCCCATTACCTATAAAGTGCTTTGAGTGGAGTATCCAGAAACGTGTTATTTAAGTGTAAGCAATTATTATTATTCATGTTTTAATCTCCCTTCTATAGCTGCTCACTTCAGGAGAAACTTAAAACAAACCTCAGAATTTGGGTGCTCCCCTTCTATTGGGCTTGGATCTAAAACTGGGGATCTCCTACTACTGAAGGAAGCGTAATGTGAGAGACTCGTGTTGGTCGAACCTCATTGCTGTAGGTGTTGGGGCCACAGGGAACACACGCCCCCTTGCCAACAGGCTGGTCTGGCCTGAGGAACGTATTTGGCGGGCATGGCTGGCACGTGCTGCTGCCGTTCTCGATGTAGTGCCCGGGGGGGCAGGGCACGCAGGAGGAGCCGAGCTCCGAGGAGCCCAGGGCGCAGCGCCGACAGTGGGAGGCCACCCCGCTGATGACGTTGGTGATGCGGATGGAGAAGATCTTGGCAAAATCGCTGCTGTATTGTCTGTCCTGCAAGAGGGAGGCGAGGACAGCTTTGTGTCATAACTCTGTGCAAGCAATCTCAAATTTCCCATTTAAACTCACTTTCAAAAACCGTAGCTCTTCCCAATATCCATGTTTGCTACAACTGAATCCAGAAATGGGTCTTTGAATTTAATTTCTTTGAATAGACACTAGCTTCTATGGTTTAGTTTTTATCACTATTGTTGATATATTTATATACGTTGTATACTTTATAATCCATTTTTACCACCCATTCTTATTTTTCTACATTGTAACTCCCCATAAGCCTGTACCTAACAGCATGCACACATACATTTGAGCTGGGAAAAAAAGACGGTTGAAAAAGTTCTTTCAATCACTTAAGGCGATATAATCTGTTATAGTCTGTTTTTCCTGCACTGCTGGATTTCTCCCTCAAAAGGCAGTGACACCTGGTGTCAATTTACATTTTCCACTTAAAGGTCAGGTGGCTGCCTAATGACAGCTGCTGCACATGAATTCTTACATGACAGTTCCCATGGGTGCATTCTGTCTTGCTCCTGTAAAACTTCTTTAACTATTGAAAAGCTGAATCTACAAAACAGGAGAGTTGCTCCTGTGTGAGGCTAATAGAGTCCTCTGTGCCCCTAGTGCTCTGCCTCTGCTTGTCTTTAATTCTGCAGAGTGGCTGCATACACTGGGCTCGCGATGGAAAAAGCATTTTCACACGGGAGCCTCCACAGTAACAGAACACCCAGGTAACCGCTGGGAGCTGAAAGCCTTTCCTCCCTCCCCCCCGAGAGCGGTGCCCAGGCTCGTACTGTGGAGTAGTCCTCAGTGCGCTGGAAGGCCCAGGTGAAGCTGACGGTGTAGTTGCTGCTCACGATGTAAGAGTAGGACTGCCTCTCCTTGGAGCCGGTCCAGTGCTCCACCATGGTGTTTGCCCTTTCGTTGTAGCCCTGTGGAGAAAGTCCGTCAGCTCCTTTACAACACTCATTATTAGAGCCACCAAGCAGACGCTTTCTACTGTGCTTTCAACTGTGCATGGGAAAGAGCACAGAACGCTTTGAGAAATTGCTCAGCCAGAAAGTGGCCAGCTGGGGCTTGACTTAGCAATTGCCTGCTGATGAGCCCTATTTAGTTAGTCTAGATTCAGCCCGCCTCCCCAACAATATTAGACTCTCACTACAGTACAGTGCTAATAAGTTATGGAGGACGGAGGATAATGCGCATTAGCTCACAAGTTGAAGGGCATGCTTTTTTATTTGTAAAGCACTTTTTTTTCTTATTGGGAGAGCTACTTATGATAAGAGACACTGGTGAGATCCCCCCACCCCCAGAAAAAGTATTTACGAAATCCATTCATAATTCCTAGCCCTCCCACTGAAACCCCATGCATTCGCACACAACTAGAGCTTTTGAAAGAACAAGGCTGTGTGAAGGAGTTTGGAAGCCAATCGCAAACAAATTGGTATATTCACTGCTTTTCTGTTTCTGAAAACACTTCCTTGTTCCCTTGAGAAGCATGGGAAGGAATCTCACCGCCATGAAATACAGCGTGCAGTCAGCCGTGCACTTGGTCTCGAAGACGAACGTGACCCGGGACAGCTCCTTATTCCCCGAGTCCTTGGCGACCGACTGCGGCTCTCTGGGGAAAACAGGCTCGGTCAGGACACTCGAAAATTCGTTGGAATCGGTGGGAATGCCAAATGTGTTTCAGTGGTCAGAAATAACTTCAGCACGTAACAAACTTGGACAGATTTCACTGTTGCTTTGGTATACGGCCAGACTAATAATACGCCTCAAAACTAGGATGATCTCAGCTTAGGAGCCATTGGGAAACCCCTATAAAGAAACTAGTTTATGTTACCCCAAGAAGTGCCTTTTGCAAACATACATATGACCAGCCTTGATCTGATTCAAGGCTATTCACTTTTTTTTCAGTGTTTGTTGATAACTTTTTAATTTTAGTTGATAAAACTAAGTCAAAAGCATCCATTCACCCATTTTGTGGCCACTTCTTCCAATTCAGGGTCGCAGGGGAGCCAGAGCCAATCCAACCAAGCAAAAGGCACAAGACAGGATACACCCTGGATGGGATGCTAGTCCATCGCAGGGCAGACAAGACATGCCTATTCACACCAGAGCCAGCTTTCCCAGAAGCCAATCACCCTATCAGTATGTTTTTGGATTGTGGGAGGAAACCCACATGAACATGGGGAGAACACACAGACTCCACACAGACAGCACTCCAGGTCTGGAATGGAACCCAGGGCCCCAGTGCTGTGAGGCAGGAATGTTAAGTACTGCACCAGCCTCAGTAATAATATATTAATACTCAGAAAATCCCTCTGAATCAGCGGTCCTTAGTCCAGGTCCTGGAGTATTTTTACCTCTGTTTCTGTTCTAGCTGAGATATTCAACAAAGCCAGCAGCCATACCACCCTGCAACTCACAACTGGCAGCCCAATGAAGGTAAGCAGGTGTGAGCCTGGTCTGTACCTGGATGGGAGACCTCCTGGGAAAAACTAAGGTTGCTGCTGGAAGAGGTGCTAGTGGGGCCAGCAGGGGGTGCTCACCCTGCAGTCTATGTGGGCTCCAATGCCCCAGTATAGTGATGGGGACACTGTACTGTAGAGAGGCATTGTCCTTTGGATGAGATGTAGAACTGAGGTCCTGACTCCCCATTATCTGTAAACTGCTTTGAGTGGAGTGTCCAGAAAAGCACTATATACGTATAAGGAATTATTATTATTAACATTGAAACTAATTGATCCCCTTAACTGAACTTCTTGCATGATAAGATGCTTCATAACTTGTTTCTCTACTCAGACATTAGATTCGTCAAAGCTCTGCTGCAGGTGTGTTGTTGTGAAGCAACATCCTGCTCTTTCTCTCCTCAGCTTGCCTATTAAGTGGTTGCTGCCTTATTTTCCTTTAAACAGCTCTTAATAGGTGACCAATAGGTGATGTGCAGACACAGGTAGGATTGATAAGTCGTGGTAGCAATAGTTATTAATTATTGTTTCTATCCAACATCTGAGGAGCCAAAAAAGCCTTAATCAATACAGATCAATTGATTAACAGCTGATTTGGTGCAAACACACAAAGACCCCAGCAGCTGAGTTCAGATCCACTGATATAAATTGAGCTCCAGCACAAACCTTCACAAGGTGTGGAACTGAGGAACTTTCTCAAGATTATGGCCTTTAACACTTTAAGTC